ACAAAATCTCCGCCACATGCATTTGTAAAGCAGCAGACATTCTCTCAATCGCGGGTACAGACCGCGTTAAAACGCTGTGCAGAATCGATTAGAAACCGGGGGGCAGAGAATTTCATCCACTACAACTCCGGAGGAATACGTTTAGTCCTTCAATTAGTCAAGATATTCCCCTTGCTTTATGGAACCCACGTGTCGATTAGCGTGGTCCATATCTCGAGCCAAATTAGTCCAATCAATACAATCATCATATTTATTTAACATCCATTAATATTGTTAAGATTTGAGGTTTTCACAGCGGCGAGTATGAAGACAGAAATCTTCATTAATATTATCTTCCATCTACAACTTTATCTCCCAAATGGTCTCTATCCTTCAGGTTTTCCGACCAGGTCTTTGAATGCATCTTCTCCACACGTGCTACATGCCCGCCAATCTTCTCTTATTTGGAGATATTTATATTTGCCGTAAAATACAGACGATTAAAACTCTTTACTGTGCAGATTTTCTACCTCATTTTATCCTTCCGTTCAGCATAGCCAATAAAATTAAAACATGCCTATTTATTCTTCCTGCGTAATTATTAAAATATTACTAACTGCAACAATACATATATTTTAAATAATGCGCTCAGAACGGCCGCTCATTTTAAGGAGCCCGTAATCCTCGATCAGTATCAAATCTGGTTTCGTCGCATTGGTATCTTCTACCACATTATTTTATATATAGTATGTTTAAACAGCGAAAATGTAACAGATTTAAAAAAAAATTGAAATCCTGGTATCACGTGCATTGGTTCAACGCAAGAGCGCGAGTCCAAAAGAATCCCTTGCAGAAAATTAGCTTCAGTTACATGCTCCATTTTTGCTTACAACTTGATTTGGAAAACACGAAATGACATAGAACCTGTTAAAGTACGGAAGGAAATTAATAACCACTTCTTTGTCACTTCGTGCGATGGACTGCTACTGAAATTCATTCCGGAAAGCATTCTATCTGGATAAAAAATAAAACGAGTATGAAGCCATGTAGCAACAGGTTGTACTCTTGAATTTTCTCTCGCGCCTCATTTTTCAAGCAACATCTTGTGTCTTCCCATCTCCATTATCGAAGTGTCTCTCTAACCCACCAAAGCGTCCCAACATTAGCAACATTTTCACTTCTCGTCCCTAAACGACCAGAGTGGGGCGCTAGAGACTAGCTCCACTTCAGACCACTTACGATATTCATTCTCATAGTTGCTTCTTTGGGAGACGCATTCTTTTCATCCACTTCGTTTCCGTCTTTTCCGCTTCGTTTTGTCCTATTCCTTCACCTGGAGGGGAGATATCGTCCCGATCAAATTGGGTCCGACATCACAGATGTAGCCCTTACAATGAAATTTTCAGAAGTAGGGGAATAGGTTCCTACGTTATTTAACAACGCTATCTCAATTGTGCAAGTTACATAATACTGAATCGGATTGAAATATTATCATGAATGTCTAACATTTAATGATTAATTTCATTCTCTAAGAAAACAACACTTCATCATTACAAATATAAATTATGTTTCCTGATTAAGGGAATAATTCCTTAATAATTCATACGAAACACAAATACCAAATGCAGAATTGCTGATTACTCATGCAGATGGTACCACAGGACTTCAAAAGACTGATTCCATTAGAAAGACTTGAGAAAACCAGCAACATAATTCTAAAGCAGTTTATCATTACGGATAAGTACAATTCTGTTTCCGACATTTATTACCATCACCGTCCGATAAACGACCCACTGATCATATTCACATTATATAATAAGGATATAAACCTTTAATTGGCCTCAATAAACTTCAATGAGGGTTGGTACGTTTATTGCGTCCTTGTTCGGTTCGTTTAACAGCAAGGCCATGAATTCGACAGTGACCATTTTCTGACATCGCAACGATGAAACTCGGTAACACTAACTTTACCGCTTCAAGTAGTTACGGTGGAATAATAATGAGCAGCATGAGTTATGTGGATCCTGCTTCTGGGTCATGGCATGGTGCATGCCGAGACGCGGTCATATTCCCGGGAAACTTTGCCTCCATCTTTAGCGGTACCGAATGACCCCTGCTGATACTGATCTGAGGACCTGCACTTCGCCAGAAGTTTCATTTATATCATTACAGCTATTAAATAAATATAACATTAAACTAAAGAAGACGTAGTGTTATCAATGCCATTTACATTTTCATAGAAAATACCTTATTCCGTATTACGTATTTTCCAAATACCCTTCATCATGCAAAATATCAACAATACATCAAAGTACCGCAATATTTTTCCATCGCAGTAACGCAAAAGATGCCAGAAACAGATGGCGTTATTAATGACGTCGCGGTCTTCACAAAATTACCGATCGCATACCCTTTACAAAAACTAGTCTCCTAACGCAGATTATAATCTCTCAAGTAGATACCAAATTTCGTAGAAATATATTGTTTACATGACGTCACAACCCACCATCGCCGTAAGAACCTCAGATCTCATGTCGGGCTGTTGATGTCTGTAATGGTGGTATCCGTGCCTGAATCTGGTGATGAAATCAGAGATAAACATGCAAAGCTTGATAATTGGACAAGTAAGATTAAACTTCTAAGAAGCTATACAGAAAAATATTTCAGATCAACGGTTTTCGCATATATTCGTAGAGGTCTGGTATCATAAACGGATCAAGTCTATCCTTTGCATTTTGTTAAATAAAGATAAATATCTGAAAAATCCTTAAATTACAAATCTCAGACAACGACAGGAGCTTCAAGCACATTTGTTTCTGAGCATCTCTGTAGGCCACGTAAAGTAATTTTTGTGGAAACCTTTAGTTGTAAACATGTTACTGTAGGAATTTCTACAGGTTCTGTGCGAAATCTTCCGAAACTAAAACAACTTTAAAGCTATATTAAAATGATGGATGCCGTTTGTTTCTATGGCGAGATTTCAGGTTCTCATGGTGGCGAGTCTGAAGATCGCTGTCTTCTGGGATGTCGCGCCTTGTAGTCTGATAGAAGTTAACCGATGTTTCAGAGAAGCCTCATAATTCCATCATCAGGGCAATGATGGAGACAACAAGCACTTCTAAATTTCTACTGAATTACACGCCATAACATCCCATAAGACACTGATCTTCTTCTGTCTTTAGTTTATAAATGGATTTTATAAGTTTTTATACACACACAAAACCTCGACAAATTATAGCACAAGACTACAAATTCTTTTGTCGGACATTTTATAAAACAATCACACAGTAGTTTTATCTTTCAGACACTTCATGAAATAGAAAATTTGTTCATCGGGGATTCATTTCACGATGGGCAGGTTGGTTCATGTCTAAAGTCTACCCTGCACACTGAGAGTGTAGCGGACTTACACATCCACTAGAGTAATGATTTAAAACAAATGACAATTACTTTCAATATCATTACTCACTAAAACTTACATCGGAAACTTCAACATGTCTTAATATAAATAACATCACAATTTAAGTGGTAGGCGAAAATAACAAACGAAAGTCAAATTTAATCGCAAATCTCACTACGATAGAACGCAAAACAAATGAGTGACTGTAAACCGCTGTTACTTCAGACCTTCGCTTGAAACGAAAACGGAGTTCTGTCTTAGACTGAAATACCTATCCTAAATACATTTATAAAAAAAAGGATGCAAATAGTAAGAAAAGATAAAGAGGAACGCGAGGATAAAAAGTGTTTCAAGACAGAAGGACAATCAATCATGTCCGTCCTTCCCAGCTGTAGCTCTATAATCTTGTAGGATGACGACACGGTGGGGTCATACGGAGGATACACAGTTACTCCTTCCAAACTGTAAACAAATCATCCTGCATATTGGTAGGAAACGTCGCTTAAGAACACCATTTACATCAGAAACTTAATTCTTGCAAACTATCTTAAGTATAACAAATAAGTGAACAAACCCAGTTATTAATTGACAAATCTCTCCGCCCGTGTTTGAAAGTGTAAAGCTTTAATTTTCGCAACCGATTCGAAACTGTTTAAGATAAAATTTAAAAAAAAAATTATTTGTCTCTTTATTGTATAAAGAAAAGAAGTATACAGTAATAGGTAATGTATTTTTCACTAAATCAGGAGAGAGATACGAAGTTCTTTAACAATCGTCCCGATATTTTACGACGGTAAAGATGTCGATATTGGTCTATTGGGTTGACACCATATAATCTTGTAGGCGACTCCCAACGTTCTAAAGAAACTAATCGCCTTAATCTTCAGAGTTAAACTGAGTCAGGATGGAGATGAGAAGCATTTGTACAAGAGTAAATCTCAAATAACGACTTAATGAAAAACTTTTTGGCAGTTCAGTCGCAGTTAACTGCCCTGAAAGTGAATTCAAGGATACCACGCGTTTTAAACAACGTTTTAAAATAAGCCTGAGGTTTAATTTTAAAATAAATTCGCAGTTCAAATACTAATTAAATCATAAGCATTACTTCTAAGTACCTGTAACTGTTCATAAGATTAAAATTATCTAAACCGATGCGAGTTCCAATAAACGTGTAGCACTGCCCCAAATATGTACAATGTTTTCTTAATAGTTACATACGTCTGTGTACATGCCTATAATCCTCCAGCACTGCCATTTTACTGAATAGCTTATTTTAATAACCTCTTCAGATACATTAATAACGCAAAACATGGGTATCAGACAATAAGACTAAGCCCCGTTACGCTTCAAAATTGCACAATGATTGCAATTAGTGAACAGACGAATATATAGCACCTTACTCCTCGTTAAAAACATTTCATACGAAAACTCTCAATACATTGAAATGTTAGCACTGAACAGCATCGCTGCAATTATTCCATGTTCTTGTTTCCATTAATCATATTTTGACATTTCAATTGCTAACTAATTGATCATCAACAATTTGTTTGCGGTTCCGATATTCGTCCACCATATCCTCGCAAATAAAATTAAATTATCACTCTCGTCTAATGATGCTCAACTATTTGAATTTCTGTATGTTGTGTTTATATTATACGCGGTCTATCAGTGTTCGATGTTAGTACGATAGCAGAGAAGCGGACTGTAAAATGTCATGTTATTTTTTACATACATAAATCTCTGATACGGTGCAAAAACCGAAGAACACCAACTTACCTTGCACCGGCTGAATTCTGCACTGGAAAAGTTGTAGGTCCTGCGTCACGATTAGCTGCAGCCACCCGGGTGTTAAAATTTCTGCCATATTCCGTCTGCGACATTGAAACTGAGCAATTGTTTGTGGAACAAGTGAGCAATTTATGCACGCTGCTGGACTGCATAGCGGTTCACAATAATTTCCCTGGACTTTGTTTTATTTCTGAAAACAAAGAACAAAAGAACTAATAAATGAATATGAAGTTATTTCAAATGGGATGATTAATTATGCGGCGCTCTGTGCATGTCCAAATTTGTGTCGCCTGTTGGCCCTTAAAGTAAATTACAAATTCAATGTTTTGAACAAGAATACACAAGGAAAACAAACTATTTCCCGAGCTCTTTAATAATTTCAGCCAACAGAACATAAGAAGTGCTTAGGGTCCTCCCGCTTTCCTACACGTGATTAATTATGAGCCATCTTATATTGTTCTTTCCAAAGAACTAATCCCACAGTGCAACGTTCGTCTTCAGAACTTGGAGCCACTCGATTGGTCAAGTTATTGGAAATAACATCGGAAGGTCTGTTAACGCTACTGGTCCTTATTCTGAAACAGACAAATCCTCCTGCTGTTAATTATGATACTTGAGGTCCTCATTACGGTAAAGACGTCTTAAGCATACTTTTCAAAGATGTTTTATTTCATTAGACAATACGTTATTGAAATAAAAACTGAATTATTAACTACACGTATATTTTTATAACTGATTAATTCCTGTAACCAAGATGGTGATATGCATATTTTGATGCCTTACAAACCTATTAGTAATACAGGTGATTTAGTGTATTTAGTGTTTTTGTATTAAATATTTCAATCGCATGTTTATTTTAATAGGCTTTTTTCCTAAAACGAAAGGAGAGTTTTGTAAGTCACCTAAAATTTTGGAAAAAGCATGACTCACTATAATCAACAAAATTATGATACGTTATAAACACGGCTGCTAATACCAAAAGTCAGTATTACAATAGATACTCGTACAGTCGAATCCTTCCGACTCCTAATGCGCCCCAATCAGACGAAAAGTGTTTCCTGTAATTGTTACACTGGCGTGTTGATGACTTTTGCAGCGCGGACGGGGAGTACGTCGTCACCACGATGACAAAAGCGATCCTTAATTACACCGGCAAGGTGACGTGGACTCCGCCCGCCATCTTCAAGTCGTCCTGCGAGATCGACGTGCGATACTTTCCGTTCGACCAACAGACTTGCTTTATGAAATTTGGTTCTTGGACGTACGACGGCTTTCAGGTAAGGCGTTCCTGACTTCGGCACACAAGTCTGAGCATTTTTTATTACATATTCCATTTACGACGTCCTTAAGACTGCGCCAGGCTGACTAAATCCTTAGATGAATTTTTTTTATGCGAATAACTCATGACACATTGACGAAAATATTTGTAAGCTACATAAGGAATCTTGTAGCTAGTGTTAAGACTTTATGAGTTCTCTGTATAAAGTGAGAGCATAATGAGAAGAGCGTGTCTGTCTACAAATGCACGTTTCATCTCCGAGATTAATTGACAAAGTCATTTACCGAATAAAATATTGATAATTATCGGTTAATTGAAAACCTACTTTATATTTTACCCAAAATTAACCTGCCAATATTTTTAACAATGATCCTTTATGCAGATTATTAATACGCGTATACATGACATGCATGACAGGTCTTTTTGATGCCTAAAAGCTACGTCTGAAACATTTTTAGATTTGTAAATACTACTCATAAATCAAGAAAACAATTTACTAGTTACATGAACCGATTTTTTAATACGTTTTATCACCTTCTTTCTTTCCTTTCTCAAAGACAGGACAAATAAGCTATTTTTCATCCTGCGGGTATATAATCCACTTTGAAGAAGTATTCGTTAAGTGTAATAATAATCCTATCACTAGTAAAAGGGGGACGTCGTTTGATCAATTCAAGTGTAATTCCATTTAGTAAGAAAGAGATAAGGTTAAAGTTTCTTCCAAAACTAATGCCGTTTCAAACTTTTATATGGAAGTTAAATCCGAGTTAAAAAGAACAAGATGTCAGTAAACTATGGCCGAAGTAATCAGGCTATAATAATTGTAATAACATACCAGACAGAGACAATTATGGAGGGCGACACACGGAAGGAGCCATGTATGTGTCAGTGAATGGAGGAATAGAATGGTTAAAGCGGGTTCATGAGACACTCCAGAAACTTTCATTCTGTTAGAAAGCAAAGGGACACACAGATGGAATAAAGCCACTTGAAGGGCGGTCACGAATCTTCAGCTTTATTTTTGCGTCTAGTCTAGAATAAGAATCAGACGAAGACACTTGCTACGTCCCATTTCTTATCGAACACTTGTACCAACTGCTTAAAAATTACCAATTTTTACCGTGTTCCCTCGGCATACGCATCGCCCATCTCAGCAGCTATATTTCACATGCTGACAGTCATTTCACATTTGTTAGTGTCAATTTTCATTTCCACGCAGGGGGACATGAACCGTCAGCGTCCTGAACTTTCCCACTTTGTCACCGTCATATTTTGGTGCGGTGTCCGATTACTACACGCGTTATTCAACATTCTATCGTCTGTTGCCAGATATTTCTCTCTGACATAATTCTGGCCCTAAAACGTAACTTATATATTCTAAACATTCATCATCTAAATCGGAGTGGACCGCTCTAGCGCAGATCCCATCGAAGCTTCGTTTAATTTTTCATTTGGAACTGTATTTATACAAACTATCCTAAAATGATATACACACAATATAACACAGAATACTAACCCTGTTGCAGATCCCTGTGCGATGTGTTTACGAAATACATGGTCGGTGTTATTTTTAAAGCCCACATTACATTCGCTAATTCATTACGTGTCAATGCTGACGTATGTAGCAGTTTATATTAAAATGTATATTTAATTCATTGAATATGTATATATACATCTTTTTGGAAAACACTGTATATCAATGCTTTACTGATAATATATGACTATATCTATATTAACCTCCTTTAATGTAATAACTTTATGAAAGTGCTTCAAAGTCAAGAGGTGGGAAAATTATGACGTCATACCCGATCTACCGATTTCGGAAATGATATGCAGTTGTACGAATTTCATAACCTTATAATGAGTGGAGTAAAATAGAGGGATATTTCGTCATGAAATTACGCCACAGGCGAAATGTCCAAAACAATAGTTTTAACGGCTTATACTATGAAATATTCTCTTGAGGGACCTTCAAAATCACGAGGTGGAAAAATGACGATGACACGTACGTCGAACCGCATCTATTCAAGTAGTGACCACTCAACAAGATGTTTCTACGCATTTCGTAAAATGGAAATGTGTAATTATAACAGCATTGTAGACAGATTTTTACTAAACCCGTTTAAGAGTTCAACGATACTTGTTACATAATATCGCCTAAAGGCATTCGTTTTCATATGTAATGATCACATGCAGGTACATTAAAATGTAAGAGCAAGTATTTCATTCTCTATAGTTTAATAATATTATATAATTTTTTAGCTGGTTTTGTATTATGATTTTATACCTGCTATCTTTCAATAGCACTGGACATCGGACAAACATTGCGCCAGCTCTCCTCTCTACTTTAGCAAGTAGAGAGGAGAGCTGGTGTCCGTGTTGCAAAATAAGAGATGAAAACGGGCGGTCTGTTTTGTTCCTGCGAGTCTGAGTTTGTTCAGATTACAGCGCCTACATTCACTAACGTAATACCGAGCGCACCACAGACATTACAATGGAAGTTTATAAATCAACATAAATCAAAACGAAAAACAGTAAAAGGGTGTATTCTGACAGGATACTTATATGTTATGCCATTTTACTTATTTTTTATCTACATCAGAGCAAATATGACGTCTATTTAGTCCGTAATTCTACGAACCCGTAACGAGTGGCTGATTTATTAATTTTATCAGTGTTTTCAAATTACATTCTGCAGTGCCCACTATTAAAACTAACGAGTAAAGAAACTGGAAGTAATATGGAAAGAATCGATCGTGGCCTATTTCGCTACACGAGTTGAGGAAGACCGCAAACAATATCATAGACGGCATCGGACGTTCATACGAAGCAGGAGTGATAAACAACCATTACGATTCAATCTGTATTTCAGATCGACTTGAAGCATATCAACCAGAGATTCAACAATAACAAAGTGGAAGTTGGGATAGACCTGAGGGAGTACTACCCAAGCGTCGAGTGGGACATCCTGGGAGTTCCTGCGGAACGCCACGAAAAATACTACCCTTGCTGCGCCGAACCGTACCCCGGTGAGTGCACCCTCTCGTCACAAACGCTTTTTATACGCTACTGAATATACGAGGGTTATGATCCTAACGACAGGTTACGGAGATTCGAACAGAATACATTTTGAAGATGGCTGTCTTCGCGGTTGTTTCACCGTGTAGTCTGGTAGATCAGGTGACTGCTCTGATGAATGAAGTTGCGTCGTCTCCCTCCTGATTCGACATTTGGCATAAATGTCTTGTTTCCCCATGTTTCATCCATCGTTATTGATTTAATGTCCGGGTTTGTTCCATATTTCTCCAATTAATCACCGTCACAATTACATTCTCATCTGACGCCACACAATTTGTGCAGTTAAATGAATTAATAAATGAAACATTAAGAAATGTCATGTTTACATTACATTGCTTGTTCGGCACGAACATTAGCCCAAGAATCAAACACAAAACAAACCGAATATGCATTAAACAAAAATATAAAATGCATAAATTAAATGGATGTACTATAACCGCAAGCCATCGACGGGATTCTAATTACCACATAACACACTTTTATTTACCAGTCAAACAATTCTGATTTTGGCGCATTCAGAATTAAAATGGATAACAACGTTAATTTCCATTACGTTGCAAAAACAACGGGTTGCCTCATAAATATGTATGTGAAAATGCTGTAATCAGACTGACTTGCGACAAATCCGTAAGCTCTGAACCACGTGATTGAAGAGGGACACACAGCAGCAAACCTCACGAGAGAATTAACTTCAGGGATGGCCAAATGTTTACATACCTAACATCAATACATTCTTATGCGTTCTTTGCAGAAATAGTCCCCGCGATTCGTTTCCGAAATTACTAAACGGAATGCGATGAAACTTGACACAGGGGTCTTAAAGACTGGGGACGTCCTGAGTGGCTACAAGCTTCCAAGAAAGAACGCTGTACCATGTAGTAAGTCCACCTCTGAACACAACGTCTTGTTTGCTTTACTTCACGTAATCGGTTTTTCAAAGGAGATATGAGAAATGTATGCAAATGTTTGGTCGGACAAACTGAACGAAACATATTATTACACTAACAAAACCTATGAGTGGATGTCAGGATGATATTAATATAATTTTAAATAATGGGGGTTGATGTACACTGAATTCACAAGGCATCGGATTCGGACCAGCTACAGACTCTTGTGAAACAATAATGAACTTTGGGGATCCATAAAATTCGGATAATTTCTGGACTGACTATGCGACTATTAGATTCGGAAGTACAACTCTATGGAGTTACTACTTGCATGATCTTTAAAAGCGAAACATAAGACACTTGTTCACGCAACACTGAAACAGGCATGTAAATCAATTAAAGTCACAGGAACTGGAGTTGTGCTTTCCAGCGAAAGAACTTCAAGCAATCCGAGCAGTCAGTGCGGTTTCCCGTTGACTTTTGCATCCAACGAGCCGGAAGTTTTCTCTCCCGTCACAGGAATTCTACACGTCAGTGAATATCCAAACACCGAGATTGATGTGGTCAAGAGACCCAGCGCCTCAGGGAGGAGGTGGCAAACTCGGCAGTCCTTTGAGCATCCGATTTCAAGCACGATTTTGTTCTCATAGGAAAAGAACAGTTACATAGTAACAAAGCTTAACAGTGGCGCAAGTTCGTTTAGTATTGTATATTAGTGGCGCAAGTCTACTACTACCACCTCACAACGATAAAGTTATTTTCGGCATAGTATATAATGTTTGTTGGCATCGTTTAGATCAAATCGCAAATTCCAGTACACCGAACTCTAGTACTTTTGTAACAAAAATGTAATTCTTTCACATTTCAATCTTCCATGTTACCTTAATTCATTACATCCAATCCCGATTATACACGGTCGAGTGTATTCTACATTAGGGAATAATTTAACAATAATGTTCGGTTCGCCAATGTTGTTAATGAGTGATACGTACCGATTTATCACAGCCAGGACATATATCTCCTCTCTGGCTGTCAGGCATGACTAATAGGATTTGAGGTTCTCATGGCGTTGAGTACAAAGATGGCCCTCTTCCGGGTTTTAGCACCGTGTAGTCTGGTAGAAGTTTACCAACATCATCAAGATACAAATTCGGTTTTTCCTCTCTTAAACTGTGTTTCTGTTTGCTCCTTAGACATCTTCTTCAACATCACGCTACGCCGTAAAACCCTGTTCTACACAGTGAACCTGATTGTGCCATGCGTTGGAATCTCCTACCTCTCAGTATTAGTGTTCTACCTGCCAGCAGATTCGGGGGAAAAGATAGCACTCTGCATCTCAATTCTTCTGTCCCAGACCATGTTCTTTCTGCTCATATCGGAGATAATCCCGTCAACATCGCTAGCCCTACCACTACTCGGCAAGTACCTGCTGTTCACTATGATTCTGGTGGGACTGTCTGTAGTCATAACCATAATGGTTCTCAACGTCCATTACCGCAAGCCAAGCACCCATAAGATGGCTCGTTGGGTGAGGAAAGTCTTCATAAGACGACTGCCCAGGTTACTCTTAATGAAGGTACCAGAACAGCTTCTAGACGAATCCGCCGCAAATAAGAATCGATTACGTGCAGCTGCGAAGTCGAAACTTAACGCCGCTGCGGCTGCACCTGCAGCGTCTTCGTCATCGGGGGCGTCGTCACCGGACTCTCTGAGACATCACCCCCTTCAGAGGCCCGGGGGATGCAACGGACTCTACTCATCGGGCAGTGGAGCCACTAACCGGTTCGGAGGACTCATGGCGGGTTTCAACGGACTGCCGTCTGTGGTCGGCCTGGACGGCAGTTTGAGCGATGTCGGCACTAGGAAGAAGTATCCGTTCGAGCTGGAGAAGGCGATTCACAACGTAATGTTCATCCAGCATCACATGCAGCGCCAAGACGAGTTTGATGCGGTGAGTATGTTGTGGGGTCTGAGACACAGTTCACCAGTTTGAAGCCCGTAGTCTTTGTTTTGCTGACAGACACGCGTATCAAAGTGAATGAAGACAAACGATTTAAAATGCTTATTTAAATAAGTAGAATATTAAATGCCACTGTGACAGCTAAAGAAACTTTCTGTGAGAAAAATGCATGGGTGTTGCCGTAGATAGACAAGAACAGCAACGTCTTAGCACGATATCAAGAGAGTATATTTCATTTAAAAACTATATTAATGTGTCATTATTATTCTGAGCCCAGAGCGGGCAATATATCTCGCAGACGTGTCAGAGATGTTGCCGTGCTATCACGACAATGAACCCTAATCGTTACAGAGCTGGTATGAAGGAGAATTCGTCTAAAACGAGGCTAGGTGCAGGAAATACATACATAAATTAGCACATACATGGAATGAAACACAGTACGAATGAGAGTATGTTGAAACATACTTTAAGAAATTTAAAATTCTTACCGATCGATCACTTCTTCAGTCCTTCCTTATGACTTTGTCCAAAACGAAGACAACGTAGAATAGTTTTTGCCGTAGTTTTAAAGTCAATAGAACTTATAAACCGTCTCCTTCCTGATGTTTTCTTGCAAGAGATACGAAATACTTTCTTTGTCTCCATGATAATAATAACTCCATGGAGATGAGTTATTTAAAAGCTAATAGTCGCTCAGCTAGTCATAAGCGTTATTCCCCCCTGCTGTTTCCATCTCCCTTTCCCTTCTTACTGTGACGTAGCTCAAGTTCGCATATCATTCTGCGTCCAGTATAATAGTTGGTTGAGACTACAAATTACACAGTTTCTCATTATTCTATTTCTCCAGACTCCTGTTGCTTCATCTCTCTTACATCCAAATATCCTCCTCAGCGTGTGTTATTCCTTCAGAGTGAAAGATCAAAACATAGCGAATACAGAGCAACGGAAGTTCTTTGTGTTCTGGCCCTTGCAATTTTAGACAGAATACGAAAATACTGAAGATTCTGTAAGAAACCCATAAAAATATTACCGGCAAAAAAAGCTATGAAACACCACGAAGCAAGCCAGTCTGTGTCCTCATATTTGTCTCTTGTTTGTACACAGGAAGATCAAGACTGGGGTTTCGTGGCTATGGTACTGGATCGTTTGTTCCTATGGATCTTCACAATCGCGTCGATCGTAGGAACTTTCGCGATCCTATGCGAGGCACCCGCCCTCTACGATGACACGAAACCAATCGACATGGAACTGTCGTCCGTCGCCAAACAGCAGTTCTTACGAGACATACAGAACTCGGACTAGACTCAGTGTTGACAGTTTTGTGGAGTAAGGGTACGAACAGCTCGCTTCCTTACCATCTGTACAGTGACTGTATTCCAAAGGGTTCAATGAATTTGCTCTCCTGCAGTGAGTTCACGAACCCCATTCATAAATTGACGTTAAAAGCACGTGCAGGCAGATACTATTACAAATATAAGTATATAAACTACTGTAAAATGTCCTTTAAAACCCAAAAATTCATCTGTTGGTCCTTTCTTTCTTTTCTTTTCTTTTCCTTATATATCTCCGACCTTTATGGACTTCAGATATATTTATATGTATATTACTTAAAGCTGCCTAATTAACGCAGCACTTTTAAAATAGAACATTTTGCCATTTAGCGTCACTGCTGAGATCATGCTTATTTATAAAATACATATTCCCATTAAGAGTAATTTATTGCAGAGGCTATATAGATAATCAGGTTGGCTGTTTAAATATATTTCTGAAGATACGTTACCGAGTTTCGTATAACGAAATTTTATACTTCAGTGACACTGTTGTGTGCCATTTTAGGGATCCAAAGGATAAGACGTTCTTCAAAACCCTGTAGTGAGCTATGTATGTCCATCAGTCTCTTCCTTGATGTTTTTCTTGAGACTTGGCAAGCACATCATGCCGTCTGAGACTGTGAGCTTACAACATAAGTCCGGAGACCGGATACACAGAATCACGTTTTCGTGAATTTCCTTACTCCATCCAGGCAAATGGCAGATTTTTTTCACTGTTAAATTTGAAGGGAGATCAAATAAGTCCCAAGCGATACTGTCATTACAAATGTTCATAATGAATTCGTCCGTACTGAAACTTTAAAATTTATATGCACAGAATATCTACGCAAAAGTATGGGCGCGATGTGGTGTGAGGTGAAGTGCGGTGAAACTGTGATGTCGGATTCTAGTGCACGAGTCGACCTCTGAGACAAAGACAGACAGATGGGCAGTGGCTCTCTGCTGGTCCCACCGAATACCACGCAAGTAGAAATGGGCTGGACGCAAAACTACGTTACATATTCAGAGCGATATTTCCTAGTTTGACAAATTGCATCAATGTCACTTCAAATACGAAAAACAAATATCTCAATGTAGAATGAATACACAATTTCATTACGTTTTGGCTATGTTCCAAGAACAGAACATTATTCTGTTTCCAAAATATTGTACGGATGTAGCCCAGCTTATAAAGATTCGACGAACAACATCAAAACCCGGATATTTTGTTACAAACAGAAACGAATAAAATAAATATCGATACACAAATGTAATCAATTTAGTACCCCTTAATGTTAAACAACCGGTTTTCAGAATGAATACATCAATACTCTACTACATAATTGCTGAAACTTAGTTAAATCGGCATTTTAAAGCAGTTGGCAGTTTATACTCAAGTTAATATATGTGTTTTCTGACATATTACATATCTCATTATCAAACAATCGATTTGAAATGTAAATCAAATTAGATACGATTTTTACTTGCATAATTCTGTGATAATACAACCATCTCTAGCATAATTCCAGGATTTAATTGTAGTTTAAGTAATAAGAGCATCTAAATTGTCGTCGATCTATAACACGTATTTTCGAAAATTTACTATCATGAACATTATCATGTGAAAGAGCAAAGTATGCAAGACGGATTATCTGAATAGAATTAAGATACTAAAATAAAAGCTAAAATTTAATTTATTCCGCAGATGAAATGCGACATCAGATGCCCGTAAATATGCTTAATACGTTGATATTTCTAACAGACACAATGACATTTTATACATTCTTATTTAATAAGCTAGAGTTAAGACAAAGGCATCTTGTCACAATATACTATATTACTAACAGTATTTCCTTTTATATAATAAATGGTTAAATACTAATTGTGATATATTTAAATTTAACCCAAAATACATACCCAATATTATATAAAAATTCTCAAATGCATCTTTGTAATAAAAATAAAACGTTACAATTATATTAGTAATGAACGTGATGCTTATTTATTTTGATTTTAAAACTTTATTTTCCACCCGTAAGACTTGTTCTGCCAATGATCAATCCCATTCAACTGTTCTCAGTGTTTCGTGTAAGTACTGTCAATGAATTTCAAATTAACAAATAGGATCGAGACTTAGCCTCAATTATAAAACAGTGACGCAGAGAAGACAACATCATTATCAGTGTGTTACGGCGCCACTAATAAAATCATAACACAATGTGATGAAATGTGAAGTTAGAGAAACTCCCTCTCTTCTTCTGCGACGAAATTAAATTATTTAACTTCGCTTTCAAACTAGGAAATAACGCGAAATTTATATCGTAATTATAGACAACATTTTCATCAGTTCTTTAGATATAAAAACTAAATAATATACAAGAGACTGCCTTGTTTATTCAATTGTATTTTAAATATTTTACGTAAAAAATAATCGTGTCTTGGTGAACTTTTAAACAAATTCTTATTAGTGTATTATGGTTAAAATAACTATAATCAAACTCGAATTATTTATTAACACCAACGTACATTTGTTATTAATTAGCGCAAATTACCAGTGTGTGAAGAATTTCATGTTTCAAAATATTATTAACATTATTACAAAATACCATTTTAGTTTAACTGAAATGTGAGACCGTGCTAATCTGTCTACTGCGAGAAATAAGACGGAATAAAGAGAAAAGCCATCGAAATGTGATGCACTGTTAATTACCGTAACTTAACGTGTTGAGTAAGTGCAACACTGGCTTATGTCTGTGTTCGTGTCGCTACTTAAATTCCACTTTGCTCATAATAATGTAATATAATTTAAACATTTTGAAAAAACACAAGTACTTCATTGTGATAAGACATTTAAACACTCGCCAATATATCTCTCTCTTTTTTTTTGTAATACACAATGCGGTAGTATAATGCGTCCAAGTTTTGTTCTCAGACAAAAAATTAATGTCATCGTAATTCTGCTACAAGCTCTATGTAAATATCCTAATATTATGCACGTATTTTTCAAGTCGCATGAACTCATAATGATACTACTCTGTCATCTTCTCATAATGACGCCACTAATAATTTTAAAAAAAAATTCATTCATTTTACATTCCGCAATTAACCACTGAAAGTATATTTAATCCTCGAGAAGCAGAAAGCCTTTTTTAAAAATGTCTGATTCAAAACACAGTAAGTTACAAATTATTTCCATCGTGATTAGAAGAATACACTGGATCTAATAGTGTCATCTAATGTTCAGTAAGTCAAATGCAGTAAATCACAAGTTATCGAATCTGAAACCACAAAATAGCATAAGAAGATGCAATGAGCACATGAGCCCATGAATAATTTTGTAATAGACCCGACTATATTTTCCTCGCGGTGAGCCAAGCATGGTCATGGACCGTTCGAACTTTGAACTGCGGAACTCGGTTCACGTTTGTGCGTTGTGTAAGGCAGAGGTTTGCAGTTCGACGTTCTGCCAGATATCTGAAGGATTGGAATTAACAAGCATTTCCTTAGACTTTAATGCTTACGTAAGAACCCAAGAAAACGCAGGACGGTTTCTTTAAATATGGACTTCGAAAATACTTTCATAAGCACATTTTACCTCCTTCTAACAAATGTTCACGACTTAAATATCTGCATACTTCCCCGTTGCCTTCAGAATGCTCTCCAGACTTACGTCAGTAAATTCTTTATCCTTCCTGCTACATCCTCCCCAATAAAACGCTTATTCCCATCGTCAACAGAGTTTACAGTTGACACAGCCAAAGTATTAACCAGAACCAATAATCATTTACATGAGAGCTTGTAGTTGAAGTTACAACAGACTTATTGGCGCTTCAGTGCTGCTGTGAATTCGGTCTGTGAATGATTTCATGACCGTATGGATGTAGACTGTATTGACGACGTTTCGGAAACAGCAAAGATAATTGAAACGTCGGCAACGCATTCTACATCTATAAAGTGTTATGGCCCATAAATTGGAGCAGCATGATCCGTTACTGTCGCATTTTTTACATTTTTTTCTAATACCAAAACACGAACGGCCAAATAATTGATACCAGTTGAAATTATTTACTTTTACCTAACACTTTCTCCATTACATACCAAATTATATTCTTCAGAATCACAGAGGACTTCGCCCCCTTACCACTTTTCTACGCTGCTCGTTCTGAACCGTCTTCACTTGCCTGGGTTACACTGTTCGTGTTGCAACATTGCACGATTTTACTCTGACCATGGGGCATCCAATTTGGTGACGGCAACTATAAGAATTTATAGCGCGCTCGTCTTTCTACTGTAGGCATTTTTTACAGAATCTTCTATTAAAATTACGTAACTCGATCAAAGAGTGAAGTGAAACTGGTGCCGTTGCAATCGGTCATCAATCAATCAATGAATTTAAATTTATAACTAAATATTATGATGTAATTTAAATCAATTTATTATACATAAAATTGCTCAAAACATGTACTTTAATCCTATCTTTGTGTTTCTCATTATTTCCTTACAAATATCCCCATGTTATATTCATGTAGCGTCCTATAGATATCCCGCTGTGAAGAACTGATGATGCGAACAAATTCTCTCGTGCGTCGTTTCGCTACAGGCAAGAGAAGACAGATTCTCTTTCTGCGTATAAGAAAACAAATATTTATCTTCTGCCAGATCCTTTATTTCTAATTTGTTCTATTTTCTTAGTTCCATTTTACTACACTACTCAAACTCACACCTTCTCCCTCTATACCATTTCCTGCCCGTTCGCCTCAAACAGGAAAATGGATTTCGGATTCAGGAAGCTGTGTTTGGTAATGACGCAGAATGTGGGCTTCAGATGATTTTAAACAGCGATTTGAAACTTTACAGATCATCTCATGATCGTATATTAATACAGAATGAAATCTATGGGTTTCCGTTCATTCTACGTTTAAACCGAGGTATCCGAAACGGTATAAGATATGACTGCCGCAGAATAATTGCGAACCCGCGTCACATTTCATAAAATGTGGTGGCTGGAAGCAAGAACCAGCAGTGAACGTCGAGCCTGAAAACATCTGACGTCTGGTTACATCCGACTTTTTACGGCAACGAGGCTAAGATGGCTGCCTCATCCGACGGATTAAGATAACAGCCATCTGGGATATTTCGCCGTGCAGTGTCATACAAGTTGGCCGACGTTTCAGAGGTTCTTACTGCCTTGATCGTCAGGGCGATGACAATCATTACGGAGTACTTTTCATGCTTTCAGACACAATCTGTTAAAAATTATTCCGTTATAGGGGTCACTCATTTGATGTGGAAACCGTTCAAAACGTGACATCGTGAATTCATCCTGCAACAAGGTCTAATACATAGCGCTTTACCAAGTCATAATTCTGTTCATTGTTTTACATAGTAGAACACAAGGGCGGCATTAAAAACTTCGCGTATTTCACATTTTGGTTAAATTTGTACATATATATATAGCGTTCCGCTCGAAATATTTTAGCGCTGACAATTCAAATACTATTGTTTACTGTCGCTGGCAGTCTCCACTCGACTAACTGAAAAACAAAACAGCCTATTACATCGCAGGGCACGCGTTCTCTGAAAGCTGTTCAGTCCTCCACCCCATTCATTATAACTAAACCCCGCAGAGCCCACGCTCAGTGTTCTGATACCTACACGTGTTGTCCTCATACCGTCACGAGCGTGCGCTGTTGTTTCCGACGTCCCACTGATAAATTACGCCACTTCCTTTCCCGATTCTCCAAGAATCAGGGAATTCCTTCAGAACGTTCAAAGTAGCTCAGATGGTCCCAGACATTCCTCGCCTGATAGAATTCTAAGACTCTAGATACTGAACTTACGTCCCCGTGTGGAACAGCGCAGTGCAGATCTACAGTGTATCGTGTACTCTTCCAAGAGCCTTTGGACTCGTTCACAATAGCCAAGTCACTTGAAAACATAACTTAAAAGGATTGTATGGATTTAATTAATGTGAACTGTGTTTCAAGTACGTTGCAAGCAGACTCGAAAGATAGTTTTAAGTAAAATAGAAACCAATTTAAATTTGTTACTTATCTGAACTATCTCGAAAAATAATTTTAAAAGTATATACAATTACTTCGCTGTTCAGTCTCTTGGAATGTACAAAAACAGCTGATTTCTTCTTCTGATGCTGCTGGCAATATGCAGAAACAATCACATCCCTGATGATGGAAGATGCAAACACCTCTGAAACGTCGGCAAATTTCTACAAGACTACACAGCTCAACATCTCATAAAATAGTCATATTCGAAATTATATTGTTAAAAATCCAGATTTAGGAGTCTTATTCGAATCCAATCAACACCTTCACATTTATTTCTTTGAGGTCAACTGTAAAAGTATTCTCTTGCGTAAGCCTAGGTCTCAAGTGGTCTGCTCCCTTCAGGTCTTTTAGCTGAAATGTATGCACGTCCCAATATCTCGCATACTTGATCTCAGCGCCCTCACTGTTACCTATTTATTCCGCCTTCCGGCAAATTTCAGTCATCAGTGCTGACAAAATCCCAATTTGCCCCATTCAGCTCCAATCCATCTTTGTTTTCTTGGGCCTTCTTGATGGTGTACTCTAAAGCAATGGCGATGAAGCATGTCCTTTTTTAAGACCATTCTAAATGGGAAATCAGACAAATGTATCCCTATACGGATCAACTGGTTAATGCTGTTTAAGGATAAAATCGCTGTTTATTCCGAAAAACCCATAAATACAAAATGCAGACTTGCTGGTTATTAAATAAGGTGGTATATATACTTACCACTGAACTTTAAAAAGGTTAGGTTAGTAGCGCCGGTACTCTTGTCTCAACTGGCTAGTACAATAAAGAACCAGACAGTTACCACTGCTATTGTAAATAGATGCTTTAGAAAAGAAAAATCCAGTTTGGGATAAGTCCAAGAACCTTAAAACGCATTTTACACATTTCAAACTGTTTCTGCATCTGCAGTCCTAAATTCTTAACTATTAATAAAAAAAAACCTTATTCCATAAAGGGCATAAGCAAATCCGAGCAGTCAAATACGTAAGTAGAAGCCTGCTGATCTGAATATGCAGTAGATATGCGAGGACTATCGACCCTCGCTATGAATATTTAATTGTAGTCCTGTTACTTTCCGATCATCCCTCATACGCATTTCAACATTTATCATATGCAGTAACTTAGTTGCAACAAGCTGCTATTGAAATTGCTAATAATCCTCAAAATCCACAGTACATACCATGATTAACGATTGTCAGGAGACCTATTATTCATGGCTGAGAACCATGAAAGCAATCGGCAATGTAGCCAGCCTACAGGTCTACGCAAAAGATTGATTAACGTAGAGGACCACAACACATGGCTGCAGTTTTATTTAAAGCCAGTTGCTATAAAAACGGCCTGTTCACGCACACGTTGTTAACTTTGCTAAGTGTTCCCATTTCAATTCGTCACTTTCATTTATTACTTAAGTAATCTCATATTTTTAATTATTTCAATTAACAGACTGTGTTTTAGGGCTGAGAGCCATATTTGGGATATAAAAAAATGAAGTGACAGGAAGTTAAAAAATTAGCTTAACAGTTTTCAGTCTACCAAATATTACTATGATGATCACATCAAGGAAGATGAGATGGGCGATACATGTAGCATGTAATGAGAACTACTTACAAAGTTCTGCTATGACGTCTGACGGAAGAAGACCGCTCGGATGACCCAGATCTACTTAATGGTATAATATTAAAATGAATTTTGAGAAATCGTATGGGAGGTGTTGGCCGAACCCGTATGGCTCATGATACAGTGCAGTGGCCGGCTGTTGTGAATGGACCTTCGAAATCCTATATAGAAAAGGAACTTATTTTCTAGCTTAGCGAGTTTCAGCTTCTCAACGAGAACTCTACTACATGGAGTTCTCCTAGGCCTATACATAAGAAATCTTTGAGGCCAAATTTCAACCGGTGGAGGAGACACAGGAGAGATCTTCTGTTGCGTTCAAAACCGTTCGAACATTTTAATTCGGCGGATATTGGGTATTCGTTCATCCTCCGAGGATGAATGCGACCAAACCCATCCGAAGGCTTAAAGTCTAATACCGAGGTTATGTATAAATGCTTGGAACAGCATCTTTATGGGGCTGCAAGGCCGAGTAGTCTCGTTAACTGATTACCGTTTCGAAGGAACGTATCTCCTCCAAAACGAATGCTTGGAACCGAGTAGTCTCGTTAACTGATCACCATTTCGAAGGAACGTATCTCCTCCAAAACTTTAGTAATCACATGTACTACGTCACACGCTGCAATGCCACATCACATAAAATACAAAAGTTTACAACTTATATTTAGAACATTCTTCGATCTGGTAAATATTTCAACAAATATGCTACCCCCTTTTGTGTGTCTGTGTAAACAGCCTTCTACCAATAGATTTGTGTCTTCAGTACGTGAATGAAAAGACGAACGAAATATAAAAAATCGAGAAGCATGCATTTTGAAGGTAGGTGTACTCCATTGGAGTGTATACTTCTATACTTGGAAACAGCTCACCGTAAGATACACCTATTTCAAGACAATAAGTCAATATATGTAGTTATAATACCTGCTGAATTTGTTATTAGCCATGCAAACCACTGAATTTTATTTCCCTCAGCTTTTAGCTGAATTTAAATTATCAAAATAGAATCTTGCTTGCTTTTAATTCCAATTTCCCAGCACATGCAGTTGCATTCTAGTTCATTCCTTCCACTTGGTCCATCCTCCGCCTTCAGCCTAGTGGACCTGCAAGAGGTCATGGCTGTACTCACAGCATAGCTGCAGTAGAAGTGGATCGATAAGGCAGAATTTCCTAAGCTTAGTCGCAGTGTCCCATACCAATCTTCAAACCATCGACCTTACGAGCAAGCGTTAGGAAGTCGAATGGGATGAAAGACGATAACCCGCGGACAGGGCTCATGTGGTGCAAGCTTCGTGGTTTTAGTAGAGGGATGGAGGGTGCTGGCTGTTTTACATGCAAACAGCCCGATTCATTATATTCAAGTGTCGATATATCCACAAACTATGTACAACAATAGGCTAATTTATATGCAGCTTCGTTGTGCCTCGGTGCTAAAGGCTCAATCTTTGTACAGCGACTGGAAGTAAATCTTATCCCTTCTCTGTCTTCACCCTTGCATACAGCATACCACAACACAACGGACCATGAGTGGATTTCCATATGCATAACGAGGCCTGATGTCATTAAAAGATGCAATAAACGATGTTGCTTCTTATGCAAATTACTTTGTGTCCCTCTCTAATGGATTTCGTAACTAACTACTCCTGGTTTTGTGTAACAATAGAACTTGTACTCGTTCTATTGTACGATTAGTTCTTTCTCTCTATGTGGCCGGAACTGGCTGAATACTGACGTAAGATTAATAACAATAATAATAATTAATTAGGCTAATACTTCTCAACGTTGCCACCTGCATT